ACGTTTCAAGAGGGAGTTTAGTTTAACAGTATGGGGGGAAAGAAAGAGTCCCCACTGAATAGCTGTCATCTTGTCTAGATGGATCTGGTGAAAAGAGATGGGGATAAGATTCGTAAGATTCAATAGTGAATAATTGTTATCATGACTAATTGCGACTGTCACAATTATAAAGGTAGAAGTTTTGTAACAAAAAAAGGGGGAGTGGTTAATATTACAGTCCAGAAACAGAGGACCCTAGGACCACCAAGAGAGGAACGCACAAGCAGAATGTGAGACCTTATCCAGAGAGGCAGCAGGGCCAGAGATGGAGGCAGAGATGGAGATCATCTCCAGATGGGGACATGGAGAGGGGTGTGGCTGAGGACTCTAGATTCATGGACTAAGAAGAGAGGGACTAAGAGCTGGCGGCCAGGAGTAGACTTGCAGAATGTGCCCTTTGGAGATGTAAATTATTATATATGCCTGAGTGGTTTTTTGTTTGTTTTTATAAAGCTAAAGTGGATAGAGAGAAATACTGTTAACTGATGGTACATGGAGGGGATTATAATCACTGTAATGAAACAAGGTATATGATTTGTTGAATGTAAACCTGATGATATGCCCTGTAAACTTTCACTCAATCCACAATAAAAACCTTAAAGAAAAACATAAAAGATGATTATATACACCAGATGGAATACACAGAATTTAAAGAGACCATATCTGTGGAAAGAGTTAGTGAAAAAGCTCCAAATTATCACCAAAATAAGGCCAGAGACAGACTGTGGAACAGATTATCAACTACTTGCTTATATGCAAGTTTAGGCTGATGCTGAAGAAAACTAAAACAAGTCCATGAGAGCAGAAATATGAACTTGAATATAACCCACCTGAATTTGGAGATCAGCTCAAGTACAGATTTGATGCATTAGATACAAACGAGAGAAGACCAGAAGAGTTTTGGGATGCCACCAAGAATATCACATAGGAAGAAAGCAAAAGGTCATTAAGAAGGCAAGCAAGAAAGAAAAGGCCAAAATAGATGTCAGAAGAGACTCTGAAACTTGCTCTCTATCGTAGAGATAATAAAGCAAATGGAAGAAATGAAGAGATAAAAGAGCTGAATAGAAAATCTCAAAGGGCAGTTTAAGAAGACAAAGTAAAATATTATAATGAAATGTGAAAATATTTGGAGTTAGAAAACCACAAGGGAAGAACACTCTCAGTGTTTCTAAAGCTGAAGGAACTTAGGAAAAATTCAAGCCTTGGTTGTAATGCTGAAGGAATCTTTGAGCAAATTATTGAATAATACGGAAAGCATCAAAAGAAATTGGAAGGAATACACAGTCACTGTACCAAAAAGCAATGCTCAATGTTCAACCATGTTCAAGAGCCATTAGTACTTACAGAAAAAGTCCAAGGTGTACTGAAGGCATTGGCAAAGAATAGGGCTCCCAGAATTGATGGATTTTTAAGTTGAAATCTTTCAATAAACTGTTGGTAACTCATCTATGCCAAGAAATTTGAAAGACAATTACCTGACCAATTGATTGGAAGAGACCCATATATATCCCCATTCCAAAGAGAGGTGACCCAATGGATTGAGGAAATCATCAGACAATGCCATTAATAGCACATGTAAGTAAAATTTTGCTAAAGATAATTTAAAACGGCTCCAACAGGACCTGACAGGGAACTTCCAGAGGTTCAAGCTGGATTCAGATTAAACGCAAGAACAAGTCATATCATTGCTGATTTCAGATAGATCTTGGCTGAAAGCAACAATACAAGAAAGATGTTTGCTTTGACTTTGCTGACTATGCAAAGGCTTTCTACTGTGTGGATCATGACAGGTTATGAACAACATTGTAGAGAATTAGTGTTCTGGAACACTTGCTCATAAGTCACCTGTACATAGACCAGGAGGCAATTGTTGAAACAGAAAAAGGGGACACAGAATGGATTAAAATCAGGAAAAGTTGTAGTCTTTCATCATACTTATTCAGTCTGTATGCTAAACAAATAATCCTAGAAACTGGATTATATGAAGAAGAACATGGCATAAGGATTAGAGAAAGACTCATTAACATCCTGCAATATTCAGATGACACATCCTTGCTTGCTGAAAGTGAAGAGGACTTAAAATATTGATGAAGATCAAAGACCACAGTCTTTGGTATAGGATGCAATTCAATGTAAATAAAACAAAAGTCCTCACCACTGGAGCAATAAATAACATCATGACAAATGGAGAAAAGATTGAAGTTGTCCAAGACTTCATTTTGCTTGGATCCACCATCAACATTCATAGAAGCAGCAATCAAGAAATTAGGTGATTTCTTGCTTAGTGCATTAGGTAGGTATGCTGCACAAGCCCTCTTTAAAATGTTCAAGAGCAAAGATATCAATTTGAGGACTAAGTGTGTCTGACCCAAGTCATGTGAAAGTTGGATAATTAATAAGGAAGGCCATAGAAAAACTGATGTATGAGTTATGGTGTTGGAGAATATTAAAGGTATCATGGACTGTCAGAACAACAAATTTGTGTTGGAAGACGTACAGAAGCCAACATGGCCAGACTTGTCTATCATACTTTCTTCTGACATGTTATCTGGAGAGGCCAGTCCCTAGAGAAGGACATCATGCTCGGTAAAGTGGAGGGACAGTGAAAAACAGGGAGATTCCCTAAAGAGATTGATCAGCACAGTGGCAGCAATAGGCTCAAACCTAACAGCAATTGTGGGGATGGTGTTGGATCAGACTGTGTTTCGTTCTGTAGCACATAGGGTCGCTATGGGTTGGAACTGACTCCAAGGCACGTAGCAACTTGAGTCGGAATCCACGCGAAGGTACTTAACACCAGCAACTTTACAGAAATTTCTACCGCCAGCATCCTTTAAGGAAAAAAGGGGGCAAAACAAGTGGATTGGTGCCATGCCAGGGGCGAATACAGAGGAAGTTCAGTGAACTTGGCGCGCGATGGGTTCCTCAGCGCAAGCCGGTCTGGAGCACGGCGGGAAATCTCTGGAGCTCTGGGTGCGATTGTTGTTGTTAAGTGCCTAAGGAGTCGGTTCCCACTCATAGCGACCCTGTATACGGTTTCCAAAGAGCGGCTGGTGAGTTTGAATCTCTGACGTTGCGATTCAGTGGTTCATCCAACAGATCCAACAGGGTGGAAAGCTCCGGGGGCCGGGGGAGTTGGGAGTGGGGCAGCGGTGTAGAAAGCTTCGGGGTGCGGGGACGCGCCCTAGCCGCGCGCGGCTCCGTCTCCTACTCCGCGGGATCCCTGCGCAGCTCCGCCTTCCGTGTTGCTCAGCAACCGTTCCGGAAGTCCCAGGCAGGCAAATCCGCGGAGAGCGCTGCGGCCGGCGGAAGATGGCGGAGGGCGGCGGCGCGGGGCCGGGCGAGCTGGAGCGACGGCCTTCAGTGCCGCGGCCCCCGAGCGCGCGTGACTTGCAGGTGCGGCGGGCGGGCGAGCGGGCAAGCGGGGTCGGCGGAGGCGCGGCAGAAGCTGCCTCTGGTGTCGGCCCAGCCTGCCTGACTTCTTGTGGGCGGAGAAGTGACTCCGGTGCTGTGGGCTCCGTAAGCGCGGATTATGCTGAGGTAGAAGTGGAACTGGTGCCAGGGCTCCGCTAGTACCAGTGTCTTCTGCCCCCTATTTGGTTTTCAATTTGTTCACACTAGGGAGCAACTCGATTTCGTACTTCCTTTCGTGGGGTCATTGGTGCTCGCCCCCCGTTTCTGTATCTGGTTTCGTGCAGAAGAAAGCTGTGTTGTGGCCGTAGGGAGATCCACGGCCACTTCAGTCGGGGTAGCAGGTGTGCGCTCTGTCCCTTCTTGTCTTGGGTGCTGGGATTCCTTTTTATCAGGGAGCGTTTCTGTTTCAGAGAAGTGTTCAACCTGGTTTTAGAAGCTACAGTCTATAAAACGTTCTGTATACTGAACGGAGAAATTTAATTGTATAATGTTATACGAAACTTTAGTTAGCTGTACCAAATGATTACATCACTCTCATCATTTTGTTGTTGTTGTTGTTAAGTGCCATCGAATCGGGTCCGACCCATAGCGACACTGTACGGGGTTTCCGAGGGTGTAAATCTTTACGGGAGTAGAAAGCCTCATCTTTCTCCCGCGGAGCGGCTGGTAGTTTCGAACCGCTGACCTTAAGGTTCGCAAATCATTGATAAAATTCGATAAGTAATTGTGTGTACATAGCAATAATTAAAAATAAGTGAAGAATCGGCACAATAGTCCTTTTAATTAGGGTCACTTCATTTTACGTCTTTAGATAAACATACATTGACTACCTACTATATAACAACATACTGCTTAGCTCCTGGAAATGCAGAGATAAATAGGACATCGAATCTACAATCAGAGTTGAATACTGGGGCTTTGCCTGCAGACTTTGGAAAAATAAGATATGAATACGCTTAATAGAACATTTTAGTTGGAGTATGACTTGAGTGCCAAAGTATGCAGTGAATAGATGAGAAATTTCGAGAATGGAGAGAGCAGTGTAAGGTGAGCCCAATGTGGAATAGTTCTACTGTCCATAAGTTAATTCAGTACTAGCAAATAGAATCATCCACCTTGCTTATTTTACAGACTTTCTCCTTCCTCAAATGCCATCAATTCGATTCCAACTTGACACTATAGGACAGAGTAGAAACTGCCCCCATTTCATCTCCAAGGCTGTGATTTTACAGAAGCAGGCTGCCACATCTTCTCTGTCTGAGCCATTGGTGGGACTGACCTTTTAGTTACCAGCTGAATACTTAACCACTGTGCCACCAGAGTTCACTAAAGAGGCATTTTGGGTTGTTGGGGAAAACTGGTATTTGTGTTAAGAGCAACTTTAGTTTTAGTCCTGCCACTTCGTAGTTGTGTGAATTTAGAAAGTTTCTTAACAGATCTGAGTTTTAGTGTTCTCATGTATTAACTGGACATGATGTTGGTCATAGTGGTATAAGGATTACATACAGTAATGCCTAAAGGGACTCCTGGAGTGGCACTGTAGGATAAACACAGAACTGCTAACCACAAGGTTGGCAGTTCAAACCTACCAGCTGCTCCTCAGAAACCCTATATAAGGTTGTTTTGAATTGCAATCGACTCGAAGACCCTTAAGAACAATGTCTCAAGTCCCTCTTCTCTGGTACTGTACTTGCTTGAAAAATACTAGTATTTGGTTCCTTTTCCCTCAAAGGAAACCTTTGTAACCTTCACTGAAAATACTGTAAACCTCCCCCACCCGCCGCCCAACCAGTTGCAATCCAGTCTCTTCTGACTCATGGGAGCTCCATGTGTTTCAGAGTAGTTCAGTGATCCATAGAGATTTTATTGGCTGATTTTTTAGAAGTAGACCACCAGACCTTTAGACCCCAGAATGGACTCTGTTGCTACTTGCCATCTAGTCAAGTTGATTCCATCTCATGGAGTCCCCATGTGTGCCACGTAGAACTGCTCTGTAGGGTTTTGAAACCATATCACTAGGACTTTCTCACAAGGTGACTCTTGTTGTTGTTGTTAAGTGCCATTGAGTTGATTCTGACTCATAGCCACCCTGTATAGGATTTCCGAGGAGCAGCTGGTGAGCTTGAACCACCAACCTTGCCGTTCAAATGACTTTGCAGATGAATCCAAATTGCTCATAGTTGAATGAGTGTTTGTACTGTCCAGGGACTTGAATATTGTTGCTGTTGTTGTTATGTGCCATGGAGTTGGTTCCGACTCATAGCGACCCTGTATGGGGTTTCCGAGGCTGTAAATCTTTACGGGAGCAGAAAACCTCATCTTTCTCCCGTGGAACAGCTGGTAGTTTCGAACTGCAGACCTTGAGGTTCGCAGCCCGATTTGTAACCAGTACGCTACCAGAGCTCCTTGTTGTTGTTGTTGGTTTGTGCCGTGGAGTCAGTACCGACTCATAGTGACCCTGCACAGGGTTTCCAAGGCTGTTAATCTTTACAGGAGCAGAACACCTCATCTTTCTCCGGCGGAGCAGCTGGTAGTTTCGAACTGCCGACCTTGCGGTTCGCAGCCCGGTTCGTAACCACTACGCTACCAGTGCTCCTCTACCGGGACTTGGATATAGTGGATTCTAAACCATTTAAGTTAAAGCTATGTAATTTATATAGCTTTTTCTCTTAATTTAAATTCATTTCTTCTTTTCATGTGAAAAGAAGAACAGCTTGGTTAATGACTACCTGATAACAGGCATGTTGTTTACTAATGTAATCTATTGAAACAACATATGATTAATATTTACAAATATTCTGTTGTTGTTGTTAAGTGCCATTGAGTCCATTCAGACTCATCAGTGACCCAGTGCCTTATTCTTCGCCAATTCCTTCAAAGCACCTTGGACTTTTTCCTTCAGGATTATTGTCTCTTGATCATATGCTAGCTCTTGAAATGGCTGAACATCAACCCTTTCCTTTTGATACAGTGACTCTGTGTACT